CAATATTTTTTAAAATTTCAAGTTTATATATGACAACATATTTGTGTAGCAGTATACATTTTTAACAGTCTATACGAAAGTGACATTTAATTAGAACTAAATATTTGAAAAGAAAAACACATGAAAACTCTAGTCAAACATGTTTTTATAGCTACAAATGATGTTGTGCTTTAGTGTCCAGTTTCGGCATTTTTGATCTCGATTCCAAACGTGCTCTTATGAATCCGTCGCGTTTTTCTGGACCGCAAACCGCTTGGGAAGCTTCTGTAACTAGCTTAATATGCCTCTCCACCGACTGAGTGTGACAAGGATAGCGTGCGAAATCCAGTCTTGGTGTATCTTCTTCCAGGATCATGGTTAAAAAAGTATTGTCATCAATGTCCATTACGATTGGAGGCTCTGTGATTGGAGTTTTTTGCCAATCGATCATGTCTATGTAACTGGTAGCTTCAAAATTGTATACTGGCACACAGAAAGATATAACTGAACTCGTGCGCTTTTTCTTCCTGGATTTCATTATACGTCTCAGAGCCAACTCGCGTATGTCTGATTTTTCGTCGGTAAGCATCGCAAGCAACAGGTTTTCTGGATGAGTAAAAAATGCGTTGCGTTGAATTACTGGATCAACAACTTTCTTCAGCTCGTCTGTGAGGTAGCGTGATTTCAGTATTGTATTATGGATATGTCGAGCGCCATCTTTACATGAAGAAGTATTTTTTATTTCAAACCATGCTGGTGCATAAACTGTTACGATGAAGGTAACCATTGTCTTCAGTTCATCCGATGGGCATCTTGTGGCTATATACAGGCGTAGTATTCGATTAGCCGTTGTTAACCATCTTGAATGATTGATAACACCAGGATTGCGAAGTGAAAGGCCTACAGGACAAACGCCAATACTGACAGCGGTGCACAAGTCAAACAGATATTTTTGATCTGTACTTAAATTGTCAGAATTTAAACCTGTCGGTAGAACACAGTTTATGGGTGTGTATTTGACAATGGAAAGCTTCTCACATGCCACCAATGATTTTCCGATTGGACCAGAAAATCCTTTTGGACCATTCGTAGGTCCATCTAGATGTTCGAACAAATGCCTTAACGGTAATTCGTTAGCAATTAGCTGACATACGAACCATTGCAGCGGTTTGTTCAACGCCACTTCAAGTAATCGAATGATACCTCCTCGATTGCCTGTATTAGTAACGGTTCCGTCACAACCTACAGCTTTTATACCACCCAGGTCAACATTCTTTTTACTCAAATATGCAATCAACTCAGCCGCAATAACTTTGCTTGACCCTGCAATTGTTGTAATGTGGCCAAAATAGATGGATCCTGGTTCGAATATAATGGATATATGTTCTTCAGTTATTAGTTTTCGATGAAATTTCCCATCACATTCTTTAATAAGGGTTATTGTACTGTCTTTTCTTCCATCAAAATATAGCCCAGTGATTGTGTTACTGACATTGGCACATAATGTTCCACGTTTTTTACAACGCTCTCGTCGCACTTTACTTCTGTCAATCACTTTAGAAACATCCCTTTCGTGGATTATTCCAACATCTTGAAGAACAGCACTGGCGATTCCTGCTGCGGCCCTGTCGGATACACCTTGTCGATCACATGCTAACGCTAGAGATGGTAACTTAACTCTCATCTGCTTGTCACTAAACTTTCTAAATTATTCATTAGGATCCGGCATACAATCGTCATCAGATTTATCATCGCTAGCATCAGTTTTCTCTTCCGTAGAAGAAAACTCCTCACAAACATCTGACTGTTTCTCACTGATGTAATCAATGTCAGATTTGCTGCACATCTGCCTCTGCGTCAACTCTTTACGAATATATCGTTTTTGCAATTTGATGGATTCGGCCTCATCAACTTTAGCAATGATCATACCTCGTGGACCCCGCTGATCTTCTAGAAAATCACGTACAATTGCGGGTATCTTTCTTGATATTTCACACTGACATTGAGATATGAAAGTGCACTTGCAGGAGCAAATGTCAAAGAGTTTTTTGGATTCATTTTTTAACCGAGATATTTTCTTTCGGTATGGTCCGGAGTCTTTTCTAGACTCATATGGCTTCAGCAAATTCATGAACGTCTTGTGGTACTTGTTCAATGTTTCTTGGACACGGCGGTGGCTTACATGTAGTATAGAAGCTTTGTCCCATATTTGTTCCACTTTTGTTGTCACTATTTCTGCCACATTGTGATGTGGTGGATCTTTATTGTTCAATTCATATTTAAGTTTCTGTTTTGTCAGATTGTAAAACTTCATAACATCTGCATAAGTAGGTAGTTGATTGTCAGGCATTTCAGAGGGAGCATCAAAAATGACACAATTCATTTTTAATGGCTGTAACCAGGAAAAAACTTTTTTCCTGGTTACAGCCATTAAATATGAATTGTTATTATAAATGAATTAAAGTATTATCTTATATGAATAAAATGTTTTGCAATGAACGCTGTTTGTTTACTCTAGACATGAAAAACGCACGTGAATACATATAAAAGTGAACTACAATAAAAAAATACCGGATAGTAAATGCTTATAAATGGTTAAATTTTGAAGTTGGTTGTGGAACCTCAAGACGTTACCTAAATTAATTTTTTTTTTACGGAGTAATTGATTGTATCACAGAGCAAGTTTTAATAACTATCCTAAGTCAAGCAAATCAAAATTTTTTTTTCACGTTTTCACTCCACCCTAATATATATATATATATATATATATATATATATATATATATATATATATATATATATATATATATATATATATATATATATATATATATATATATATATATATTTACACACTTAAATAATCATATTCATAAAATTACAATTAAAAATTTGTGATAAAAATACAATAATATTTTAAGAATTCATGGCAATTTAATATTTTTTGAGCTGGCTCTTTATTTGAACGAGGAGTTGAAAGTTTACATAAATTGTTTAAAAAAATGTTTGAAAGAATATTTCCGTGATGTCGATGCATCTCAAAGTAAAACTCTGTATATCATCTTGTAAAACTCTGATATCATCATTAGAATATTGCTCAATGAAACTCTGCATACTTTATCTTTAATCGTATTAAAAATTATAAAAGAAAAAATTGACAGGTATTTTCTGTGGGAATATTAAGTCCACCACGGTCAATTGAGTCTATGTATTGTCCAAACTTTTGGTGGTAGAAAGTTGTTTTTTCTAGCAGCTCATTTTCTGATAGTTCATTATCTTTACGAGTTAAATATCCTGATATGTATATAAATGCCATATTTGTATCAGAAGAAATAAAAAATTCAAGATTTGGCAGGTTGTCAAATATCTCAGCAGAGGACTCATCCAATAAAAAACCACAATTTGGACAAGAATGGGTTGTATCAAGACAAATGTCAACAGCTGGGTTAATAAGAGATAGTAAAAGCTTGACTCTTGAAATATTCATTTTTTCAATTACCTGCTGTACTATTATAAAATATGTACCTCCGGAACCTTGTTGCGATTTGCTAAACTCTTTTTCCAATGGATCAGTAGAAAACTCACTAAGAATAACATATTGGTGTGAGCTATTCAATAATTAACGACATAATTCAACAACACCATTGCACGTATTTACCATACGATTGTGCAGTGTCACAAGTAAGTTGTTTCTTCCTTTTACCTTGCTTTCCAGCCATCTTTAAAGCCATATTTCCGAAATCTAAAATATTTTCTTATCTATTATCATTAGGATCTCTAATAACTGCTTGAAGTTAATCATTAAACCTAACATCTGCACCTGTTCCTTTAACATTAAGAACTTTCCACCATGATACGACAATGTTAATAAAATCTGCTGTGTCTTGTCTTTCTTTTAAATGCTGCAGTCCTAGATGATTAATCAAAGCATGGTAAATTTTGTCACAAAATATCCTTAAACAGGTAGACACTGATTGGCTTCGGAAATATTGAAACTTCGTTTAAATTAGACAATTTAACTAAGTTTTTAGATTCAAGTTCATAAAGTTTTTTCAGGTGATCCCATTGTGCTACTTTTTGTACCCCTTTATCATAAAATTCAAGTTGACCAGTTTTTTCAGTAAGCCAATTATTTCTAATGTTTTTAAGCAAATGTACATAATCAAAGATTAAAAAAACACCATCATTAGTCAACCAAAGTTTACTTGGAACTGTGAATTCGAAGATTTTAAAAAAAGCCTGATTAATTCTATTTCTATCACATATTATGGCTTTGACTTGACCCGATGATTCCTTTATTGATTGGATAGTAATGCTAATTTGTTCGAAAAGAAATTGAGAGTTTAATTTACTTATAGGTATCATTTTGGAAATGAACGATGGTCCACCGAATAAACAATTAACCATTAAACCCAATACAGTTTTTGCAAGAGAAGTCGAATCATCCATTGCTTTTCCGAACAATGTACCACCATGATATAACAACATTTTTTTAACATAAACCTCGTCATGCAATAACAAACAAATTTTCTGTTTTTCTTCAATAGATTGAAAAATATTATTGAAAAAAATTTTTTCGTTTAATTTAGAAATTTTTGAAGTTATTCTTGTCAAAGTTCTTACAAAAGGCAATTGGTAATCTGTTCGCAATTGATTATACAAACTTCTGGATGTAGCAAAATACTGAAAAGATCTAATAATAATTTCTTTAGAATAAATCTTATTTCCAACACACTGTGTACCCATAGAAGCTAAATGTTCTTGAATTACAATTTCTTTTCTTCCAGGAATCAAACTCTTTAAATAACGTAGAACTTCTTCTAATATTGACCATGCATTAATTTTTGAGACTCTGTTTTTAGAAATTGTAGGAATTTTAATTTTGACTCGATGGTGATAAGTTTCAAAATGTAAATTGTCTCTAATCTTGATTAAAAAATATGGAACCCCATTTGAATAAGCTTGCGATTGCAAATGAATAATGCTATTAATCATGAATTTGCGATTGCAAATGAATAATGCTAATAATCATCAATTTCTTTCATTTCAGCAAAAGTTACTCTATCTCTTTCTAAAAAGGCTGATAATTCATCTTGAGCAAAGTTTCGAATACATGAAGAGGCACTATTTGTTGAACGTAATGGAGGAGGTTGAGTGGGAATTTGACAAGACGGTATGCCTGGCCAAACAGATGGTGGAAATTTAAGACGAAATTTTCCTCTAACTTGTTGTTTTTCAAAATTTATTGGCCAATGCAACTCACAAACTAAAGTGTCATTAATTACCTTTAGATTTGCATTTGGAATTACTTTAATCCACATTTGTTTTTCATCTTCATTTTTAGGAAATCGATATACTGAGATCTTTAAATTATCAGATTTCTTTTTAGCCGATAAATAATTTGTGGTACAGCCATATATACAACACTTTTTACCCATATTTCAATATCACTAAAATGGCGAATATAGTTAAGTACAGTTTAAAATAGGCCCCCAGTGGAATACGTTTGTTGAGCGTTGGCAAGGCCTGCAGTATAGTTTGCCGTGTTGTATACATTAATGTATACCTACCTGTATTGAATACAGATGGATATAAGTATATGCGTTTATATGTATTTCTGAACGTAAGTGTGTATGTGTGTGTGTGTATGTGTCTGTATATATGTGTAATTATGTGGCTAATACTAAATTATTAGTATTTTTTTTATGATTATTGTAATTATTTTTATTTCTGTCATTTTATTTTTATTATAATCATTGTAATTTTATTATTGTATTGTTATTACTACTACAACCACAACTTTTACTATTATCTTTATCAGTATTTTTACTCCGTCAACATTTAATGTTCGTTTTGTTATTGCTGTGAATGATTAACATTACTATTTGCATTAATCAATATATTTATTAGCTTTGATGTACAAGGTTTTTACTTACGATAAGAACATGTACTATTTGTAAACTTCCGTGAATGTAACAACTATTTCCGATTTTATATGAATTGAATTGAATTAAATTTATGGTACATCGCCTAGACTAACCAGTATATCCTCAAAACGCAAACCTATCGGAACAAAGCCCCATTGCTGACCCCCTCATAACAGAACATGATCACAAAAGCAGCGACAAACTCAAATTAAAACTTAACGCAACACATTTTATCACCCCTAAGTGCGCACATAGACACTTGTCCAGGTATGTAAGAAGACAACAACAAAAGCGATTTCCCGCATCAGTCTACGTTTTTGGATCCATGAAACATCGCCAAGACTAACCAGTACATCTTCAAGACGCAAAACTATCGGAACAAAGCCCCTATGCTGACCCCCTCACAACAGAACAAGATCACACGAGCAGCGACACAAATCAAATCAAAACAAAACGCAATACATTTTATCAACACTCACTGCGCTTGTAGACCTTTCTTAAAGTATGCAAGGCTACAACATTGAAAGCGAATCCCTGCATCAGCCTTCGTTGTTGGAATAATAGTACATCGCTAAGATTACCCAGTACATCCTCCAGTCGTAAACCTATTGGGACAAAATCGTTTTGCTGACCCCTTTAAAACGGAACATGATCATGTAAGCAGCAATACACAAAAAATTAAAACAAAACGCCATGCATATTCTCACCCAACAATGCGAACATAGACCCTTGTATAGGTATGCAAGGCGACAACAACGAAAGCGATTCCCCGCATGAGCTTACGCTGATGGATTCATAGTAGATTGCTAAGAAAATCCAGACTTCCTCATAATAAGACACAGACACCGGAGCAGCAGCAACAACCTGAATATAATACACTGCAATTTAAAAAAAACGTAACATTAACAATATTAGTGTCTGCGGTATTTTTAAGTTTCAACTATCGATGCCTCATAATTTTTGTGACTTCTGTTATGTTTTAATTTCCGTTTGGGTTTACATAGGTCTGGTTTGTATATAAGAGTTGATTTAGGAAGTTAAACAAAAGTTGAAAAAGGCTGTTCCTTTTTCCATACTCAATAATGGAAAGGGAGAGGAATACTATTCAGTAATTAAGTTTGAGTTAAGTAAGAGTTCTTTATGTTAGATTTAAATAAGTGTAGTTGCAGTGTTCTTTAGGGTATTGTGTTTTGTATTTGTACTAATCTAAACGTTAAAGTTATAAGGGCCATTTAATGTCTTTATCGCTTTGAATCTGTGTGTTCGAAAATAATTTGATTCTCAGTCTCGCTTAATTCCAATCTTATTATGTTCTCTTTATATATCAAGTTTGCAAATAGATTAAGTGAGTTTAGTCACTAGTGGAACATATTTAGCAGTTAATGCCTTACATAAAAAAAGTGATTGATTATATTACAAATAATTATTGTTTTTACTTAATTTTAGTTTCGTTTAACTTAGTACAGGCTCAATTATAACTCATATCGTTTAGTGGAGTTAATTATTTTAGTGAATTTGTATTATATAAACTTGCAACCTTGTAATGGAAATACTTGTTTTATAAAAACATGCAACCTTATAATGGAAATATTCGTTTTATAAAATCATGCAATCTTATAATGGAAATATTCGTTTTATAAAAAAAAGCAACCTTATAATGGAAATATTCGTTTTAAAATTAGTTTGTATACTCAAAGATTGACAAACAAAATAATCTGTTTATTTACATGCAACCCGAATATCTTCAACCTTAGATAAAAAGAAAAGAACATATAAGTAAGCCTATATAAAATTATAAAATAAATATTCAAAAACATATTACAAAAACCAAAACAATTATTAACAATTGCCATTGTTGTGGTAAGCATAATGTGATACGCAATTAACCTAATATAACAAAATTACTCAATTCTTTAGACAAACAGTACAACTATAAGGCAGAAGTATTACAACAAACAATAAAAACAAACATCTAATATAATGAAAAAACGCGCGTGCAAACGTTTAAAGAAAAAATATATATATATATATATATTTATATATATATATATATATATCAGCGTTATATTAAAACTAAAAATTATGTAGTGTAATACTAGACTCTTGTCAGGAATTGGACATTGTATTGATCCTTATAAAGAATAAATACTCTCGTATTTGACGTTTCGAATGTTTTAATGCTCGATTCTAAAAACTTCCGTTGGGGTAACATCCTCAAAACATACAAATAAAACCCACTTTTATGGCTGCTTCAAAGCCTTCTTTAGTTGCAACATTTGAGAGGACATTCTACTCCTCAGATAAATACCCTAGCTTGATTCATTTTAAACATAGTATGCTGATCAACTTTTAATAAAATTGTTAAAACATGTTGCGCAAGAAGTACCTTTAGAATACAAAAACTTATAAGTTCCATTATTCCTAAGTACTAAAATACAAATTTAAGGCAAAGAAACACACAACAAAATAAAAAACATTTATAAAAAAAAAAGACTTACCATAATTTGATATTGAATAAAAATAAGTCTTGAAGCATATTTGGCGCAAAGAAAATGAGCAGTTTATAGAGCGCATGTAAATTGTAAAATTGTACACAGATGTTGTATAGCCTATTTTGCGGTTTATTCGAAATAGCCCTCAAGCTAGGCCTCAGTAAATAATAACACTAACCGTCAGAGAAAGTGATGATTGATTGGAGAATGAAAGTGTAAGGTGAGTAGTTAATAATGTTGTGTTTAGAGAACATAAAAAAACATGGAGAACATTTGAAAGTGTCCGAAATTACTAACATAGTATGTTTTGACTAACTTAATTAGTAAGGGGAAAAAGGATCGCAGGATCAAAGATATACAATACAATAAAAGCTCCCGTTTGTGTCTCAGATCCCTAATGCAAGACAAAGTCTATTTAATTGGGTTTTTTAGGTTATTAAATATAAATCTAAGTTAAAACACTTCAAGGTTTGAATTTAAATTTACTTGCATTAGTCTTTTTCGGCTTGAACTAACATTTATTTGTCAAATCAATAATAGCAATCAACAACAAACGAAAAACGGCGTAAATTCAAGTAAACACCAAACCTCACCGCGTACACAGACACCTGTCCAGATACAAAAGACGACAACAACGAAAACGATTCTCCGCATCAGCCTACGCTTTTGGATTCATGGTATATCGCTAAAAATAACCAGTATGATCTTAAGACGTAAACCTATCGGAACAAAGCCCCAATACTGACCCCCTCATAACGGAACATAATCACAAGTGCAGCGACACAACTCAAATTAAAAGAAAACGAAACACATTTTATTACCCCTCACTACGCACAGAGAACCTTGTCCAGGTATGCAAGACGACAACAACAAAACCGATTCCCCGCATCAGCCTACACTGTTGGATTCATGATACATCGCCAAGATTACCCAGTACATCCGCAAGACGCAAACCTATCGGAAAAAAGCTCTATTGCTGACCCCTTTATAACGGAGAATGATCACACGATCAGCGACACAACTTAAATTAAAACAAAACGCAATACATTTTATCATCCCTTACTACGCACTCAGACACTTATCCAGATATGCAAATCGACAACAATGAAAACAATTCCCCGCAGCGACAAGACTTAAATCAAAAAAAGAAATTGCAATACATTTTATTATCACTCAATTCGCATATAGACCCTTGTCCAGGTATGCAAGGCGACAACTTCAAAACCTTTTCCAGGTATGCAAGGCGACAACTTCAGTGTAGACTGCTGCGATACCCCGCAGCAGCCTATGCTGTTGATTTTATGGTACAACATTAAAACTAACTAGTACATCCTCAAGACGCAAACCTATCAAAACAAAGCCCCATTTCACACCTCCTTTGAACGGAAGAGGATTAAACGAACAGCAACATTACTCAAATAAAAAAAAAAAGAAATACATTTTATTATACCCCACTACGCACATAGACCCTTGACTAAGTATGCAAGGCGACAACAACAAAAGCAATTCCTCGCATCAGTTAACTTAGTTGAATTTATAGTAAGTCGCCAAGATTAACCAGTACATCCTCAAGATGCAAACCTATAGGAATTAATCCCCTTGGCTGACCCTCTCATAACGGCACATGATCACACGAGCAGCAACACAACTCAAATCAAAGTAAAACGAAGTACACTGCGCACATAGATTCTTGTCCAGGTATTCAAGGCGAAAATAACGAAAGCGATTCCCTGCATCAGCTTACGCTGTTGGATTCATGGTACATTGCTAAGATTAATCAGTACATCCTCAAGACGTAAACTTATCAAAACAATGCCCCATTGCCGACTTCCTCATAACGAGACACGGCCACCCGAACAGCAGCAAGAACCAGATTATAATACACTACAATTTAAACAAAACGTAAAATAAATAATATTAGTGTCTGCGGTATTTTTAAGTTTTAACAATCGATGTCTCATAATTTTTGTGACTTCTGTTGTGTTTCAATTTCCGTTTAAGTTTACATAAGTCTGGTTT